GATGATCTGGGGGGATTGAGTGCACCCTCAGTAAATTTGCAGACGACACCAAGTTCTAAAGATATTTTGTCTTCATTGTAATTCACTGTTAAGGTAATTCTGTCAAATCAAAAATACTCAGATGAAAGGGAAACATCCTAGAAGTATATATTCATAACAATTAAAGCAGGTGATGATACTCATTTACATGCCATGCCTGATATCCAAGGAGCACTAAACTGGTATTTTGATGTTATTTGAACATACAAGAATCTGATCTGATTCTGCCTGCTGAATTCAATACCGAACAATAAAATCTGTGCAAAATTTTGTTACCTCTTTGTTACAAAGCTCCTGTTTAACAGTTGAAAGACCATTCAAATGTGAGGTGGTGATATTTGTGCTTTTGTTAGTGTAGGTTCCAGGAGGTCAGCTTTTGATACACCTTTCAGTCAAGCCTGGAATTATGTTGTATATGCCTGAACTTTCAATGCAATCAGTGAGATAGGAAAACACATAATTGAGAGTAGGGGAAACAACAAAAACAAAAAAACAGTGCTGTGGAAGTTCATGACTCGACATTAGTATTGTGAGAAGCAAGTGACAGTCAGAGATATAGTAACATAAAAGAGGAGGTATTGTCATTTGTTGAAAAGCACTTAAAACAGGACTCCACATATGAAGACTTGAACTCTACTGTCAGGCTACAGCTTGATTTTTTTTATGAGACAGAGACATAAATTTAAAACTTAACAATTAAGTCACTTAAGTGACCCTATTAATATTAGTTTCAAACTGAAGTATTTAAAAGAATTTAAAACTTAACAATTAAGTCACTTAAGTGACCCTATTAATATTAGTTTCAATGTGAAGTATTTAAAAGAGTTAAAAAAAGAAAAACCAAAACAAACCACAAAACAACAAACAAAAAAAACACCAAACCCCTAAATGAGAAAGAAAAAAACCAACACCCTGAGTTAGAGTCAGAAAACCATCTTATATATTCAACAGTAATAACTCCTTGTTATGTGTTTGCCAACTGCGAAACATTTTGCTTAATTTTGCATAAGCTTTTTTGGTCTATTGTTTAAAATGCTAGACAATGAATCTATCAGACAAAAGAAAATCAAAGCCATCTCTTCTTCAGTATTTTGGTATAATTTAGAATTATTCTTTACCTTTCTGCTATGGATGGAAGCAAAAGTCATTATTATCCCATTCATACAGGAAGTTAATCAGAGGATAATATAAATTCATTTATAATATGTTTGTGGTTTAACATTTAGTTACTATATAAAACCAGATTTGCTACATGAGCATGAGGATAAGTTGCTGGCTAGGTAAGGAGACTATAACTCATACAGTTTAAATCTGCTAGGCACTAACCTTACAACTGTGGGATCAAGGTTGTAAATTCTGCCAGCAGCTACATTTCTTTTAGAAACTATTTATCAGTTGACATTTTGCCTGGTATTTTGACAGTTCCATGCTAGCTGTGAGTGATGCTTTCATTCACAACTACAACAGCTACACCACAAATAAGAAAGTCTGCATTAGCTTCTTCAGTGATAGAAAGCTATTAATATGCCAGAGAAACTGTGACAATAAAATTGTAGAAAATGGTCATTGCAATGATTCATTTCTTACACAGAATAAAGAGTTGCCTTCTAGTATAATATTGTATTATACCCAAAAGAAGTTAGCTCAAGGACTGCTCCTGCACTTTCTATCTTGGCACGAAACAGCACTCCATTCTCTGGAGAAAACTGAGACAATTATATTACCACTCGCATATGATTGTGATCTAGCACAATCTGAAAACCCGAAGATTGCTAAAACAATTACTAAGCAGGAGGAGTACCAAGGCTACCAAAATGACAAACCAAAGAAATTTTTGGCCATGAAACTTTGAAAAGTCTTTAGCTACAACCTTTGCTTTTAAAAACTAATTTCATATTGTAACGCTGTTCAAATTTCAATCAGCCCTTTCTTGCATTTCTGGCAATCTGCAGTTTTTATTTAACGCCTGCTACTAGACAGGCAACACATACAACCGGGGAGCTGCTAGCTTACTCTTCTGCCTAGTCCTCTTCACATGTCTGGACCTTTCAGCCCTGATACCAAACACAGATGTAGCAGGATAGTTTAGACTCTCTTAGTTTGTTTGCAGCTGCCTTATCAGATTCCTAGCAAATTATAGGGCACATTTTTGCATGTGTACACAACTCACCCATGAAAATGTGTCACTGACGTCACTGTTTTGTGTGATTCAGAAAATCAGAAATTCAGAAGCATTTTCAATTTCACTATTCTGTTTCCAACAGAAGCATATGCAAACACTATTTGCCACAACACACCCTTGTAGAAAAGGCGGCCAACAGCCTCCTGGGCTGCATCAGGCAGAGCATTGCCAGCAGGTCGAGGGAGGTCATTCTTCCCCTCTGCTCAGCCTGAGGGGAAGATGATCAACCTGCTGTAGCTGACCCTGCTTTGAGAAGGGGGCTTGGACTAGAAGCTCTTCAGAGGCGCCTGCCAGCCTCCGTGACTCTGTGATTCATTTGTGGTCACATCATTTCCAAATGTAACAACAGAATTGCTCTCAGGAAAAAAAATAATCCACTGTTTATTAGAGTATGTCTGCACTAGCACTTTGGCACACAGTATACACACATTTAAGGGGAAAAAGCCTACTTGATAAACAGTAGGGAGCACTTATATATTGGTGGGGAGATACTGAACTCCTTCAAGGTGAAACCCAGCAGAAGTTGATCACCAGGGTTTCATGTAGCGCAATGTAATCCAACAGCTAGAAATAAGGAAACAGCAACACTCCAGCAACTAGCTCTTACAAGCCATAAGCAGTTTCTGGACTGCTAACCAGAAGTTCATAGACTTTAAGGTAGTATAAAAATACTCTAATATGCAAGCTAATAAAAAATAGTATACTCTACCTGATAGCCAAATGTGTTGTTTTGTGACCCGTGCCTTGGGACTCCTGGATTTTCACATGCTGTGCGAGTAGGTTCTTAAAAAAATTACAATAAATTAAAGACAAAACAAATTTCAGTATTTTAATGACATACATGAATGTATCACAAAATTAAGCTTGTTCAACAACATGCAGTAAGCCAATGAGAGAAACAAAAATAAAGTGACTTGATTCTTAGAGTATAAAATACCACCAGGATAATTCAAAATAGCTGAAAACTCCTAGATTGACTTAGCAGGTAAAGGAATAATAAGCATTTCAGGAAATTTCAATAATATGGGTGTAACCTTACCTATACATCGAGGAGAAGAACCAGTCCACGTGCCATCTGCTTGGCAAATCCTGGTGCTGGAACCAACCAAAATAAAAGGAGGATTGCAGCTGAAAGAGACTTCTGACTGATAGATGAAGCTTTTGCCTTCTCTTTTGCCTTGAGCAGGTACTCCAGGGTCACCGCAAAACTTTGCTGTGAGAAAAGACATGATAGAAATGGAATATGTCATTTATTAAAATACAGAAAATAACACTTATCTGAACTCAGTCAAGCGGTTACTCCAAATTTTGTATTTATTTTATTAAACACAGGTCAAATACAGAAACATTTAATAGGAATTCAAAGAGAGATTAGATAGCTAATCTTTAGTCTGCTTCAGTTTGCAGGATTTTTTCTAGCTGTTCAAAATGCCTACAGAGTGGGCTTGGTCAGTAGCTTGAAGGTGACACTCAAGGTTACACAACTGATTTTATTAAGGCCCAAATATCCACAATTCACCTCTGCTCCAAACCACATCAATCTGCAAATCCTCCTATAAAGAGCAATCAGAGAGTGTACCAAACCTTCATGTCAATCTTTCGTTCTCTCCTGCTTTCTGTCACCTACCCAGTGCTCAACATTTTTGTATGATTAAAGGATTTGTCAGACACATTTTAGGAATCATAAATTCTTACTTCGTCCTCCTTCACTGAAAGATAAGATTTAGTATGTATGGAAGTACAACACTTGAAAGTTAGTACAGCTAACAAGAAAAAAAAAACATAGTAAAGAAATTTCAGCAGCAATCTAAAAGTCAAACACTAATAAGCTGTTATTAGGCGAGATAAATTTGACTGATAAGAATGTATTCTTAAATTGATCTTTTTACTTTACACCTATCACCTAAAGATTCCTTAGCATAACTGAGTAAATGCACTGCTGGCAAATTTACTGGCCGCCTTCTGCAGTATAAAGTACTGATTATTGTCAGAAGCTGGGGTTTGAATAATTGATTCAGGAAATGCAATCAGCTATGGTAAACCCTGTGCCATCAGACTATATTATTCCCTGACACACCATAAATTCCAATATTGTGGAGTCTAATTTCACACCAGACAGAAAATGCTTTAATACACACAAAAAAATAAAACACTAACCCGCATGTGTGCAATGACATATTTCTAAAAAGGCATGTTGAACAGACAGTGGTATTTTCTGGTCCATCTTTCTCTTCTACAAACAAAATTTAAATTACACCTCTTAAACAACCACCATCAAAATATGTTTCTAATATCTCTATCCTTGTCACCTGTGCCTTAAACTTTCCAAAGAACCTGCTCACATGAAATGCTCCTGCCCTCTACCTCTTACTACAGACACTGACTGTACAGGAAATCCATGCACACACATGTTGTTGAAGAAAAAGGGTTTAATCTATAGCATATCAGATATGTATCAAATTTCATGGCTTTAAGTGGAATGGGACTGTCTGCAGAATTATAGGCCAAATTCTGAAAAGATCTATGAATTGGGGATAGTGCCACACAGTGAACCTCATTGTGTGATTGACAGATCATGGTTGTAATTTATGTTTTCATTAGAAAATTCTGTGGAAGTCTTAATTTGAAAATACATGAAACACTTATAGATTTTTAACACAGAGGCTTGAAATTGTCTCCTGAACAGTTCTTTGTACTAACAAAGTAGCAATCGCTCTCAAGGAAAAAAATATCTTCACACTAAAAAATGCTTTTTTGGTAAGTTTATTAATTTTTTATAAAACTATGTAAACCCCACCACTTAGTTGTCAGTCAACTTCACCCAATCATTGAATAGCTACTGAATATCTGCCTTCTATATAGGTAACCACAGAAACCAGGCACCATGGTAAAACATGTCAGTTTTCCTCTGATACTGGAATAGGGGACTACAGAACTAACTAAAGTTGCAGCGAACTGGAAGCTCTGTGAGTGATCCCACTCCCAATGGAAATATTTTCCTAAGGACTCTGAGAGCCTTCAACAGAGACTGGGCCATGGAGCTCTGGCACTGAGGCTGTAAGGCTAGTCTCATTCTTCAAAGACATTTAATTGATTAACAGCAAGTCATATCTGTAGTTAGGAATTTTCAGTCATAGGACTATTTTTTTTTTTTGCCATCTATTGCCAAGATTATAAAAACATCAGTCCTTTACTCAAATTACTATATGAATAATTAAGCAGACAAATTTACTAGGTCATAGATGACAAAGACTCAACCAAAGACATGACCATATTCTATTCTGAATAATTATTTCATGTTATAACTATACCTTGTGCATCTTCACCTACAGGCTCTATGGAACCAAGCATATTACAGTACTGAGTATTCAAATCTCAAAGATGACAAACAGCTTGTGGTATCCAAAAATTAACGTAAGGACACAATATTTCAATCAAGAACACATGATGAAAAGAATTTTTCATGGTCTTTGGTGTTCATAATATAGTGGACTCTAGAAGAGCTCCATATAGAGCTTAAACAACAAATGGTGTGGGTTTTTTCTTCCAGAAACAATGCCTTTCACCATGTTCCAGCTCTGGCACGTACAGTTTCAGCAGCACTACCAACTGTTCTTGATGATATGAGAATATCATTAGAAAAAAAGGAAAATAAAAGATCATCTATGTGATATGCTTTCATAGTAGTAGAATATAGACAAAACAGAGAATATTTTTGAAAGGGAGAGATGAAGAACACAAAAAATAGTAAAAGAATGGAGAACGGCATTTTGCAACATTTAGCAAGCTACCTGGCAAGCTCAGCTACTTGGCAAACTCGAATTAAACTTCAGAAACTATAAAGTCATGAAGTTGAAATTATCCTCTTCCAGTTAGACTCCTTGCTCAAGACCATTACAGAGTTTCACTGGTACAGCTATTCTACAAATAACTACAGAACCTCCTTCTTCAGTGCAATTAATTTAATATCTCTCAGAAGCATTCACAATCACTTCTTTAAAAAGATTTGTTAAATAATGAGTGGAATGACACTAACCTAAAGAAAAAGCCGCATTTGCTATTGTAAATAAATTTGTAGCAATGTAAAAATCCATCAATGTTATAACTTTCAGGTTAACAAAATTTACTTCATAAAACATATAACTTAATTTAGTGTAGGGGGGAAAATAGACAATTGTCAAGGAATCGCCCTGGGGCCTAGTCAACATTACCAACAGAAAAAGCTCTCTGTGACATCAGAGAAAGTTTAGAATGAGTAATGAGTAAATAGAACAGATTATAATGAAACCTCCCCTATCTATATGTAGCTGGATCTGAAAACAACACCTCTTAATCTTGTTTTGCCTTGGATCATTTGGTATGCATTGTCTGTAATATTTTTTTTGTGTTTGTGTTTAAAGCTTCCTATATGCTCACAAAGGATTTACAGATATTCCTATGTCTTCATCAACCTACAAAATATGTTACAATTTTGGAAAATATAGAAGGATTGTATTTGTCCCAGGTTTGAAATGAACTAAGCCACTGCTGGGGGAAAAAAGAAAAAAAAAAAGGTGAAAATTTTAAAGAAGGTAAAAGCACTATAGTTGAATAAAGAAATACAGGTCTATAAAGTAAATACATACGCAAGCACTGAGGTACTTCACCACTCCATGTTCCATTCCCAACACAAGTCAAAACAGCAGGAAAAGAGAGTTCATATCCTGGAGAGCAGACATAGCTAATGCTAAATCCCCAGTCCAAGTTTGTTCCTTCCAACCTTCCATTAGAGATCTGCGGAGGAGTTGGGCAGGTAACAGCTGCAATAATATTCAAAATAATTAGACCCAGCTGCTGTAAATATCCCCAAGTGTACACAATTACTAGAAGAACCATATGCGTTAATTTCACCTTTTTTAGAGGACAATACAGTCAGGACATGCTATCTTCCTCACTGTATTCTTGCCACATTTCCTGAAGTTAGTTTCCTCCATTTAGGAGACAGTGGCTGACTGATGAAGTGTCTTAAATAAAACAGGATGCTGCATCAAACCAAATAGGAAGACTACCTAAAAATCAGTATGGAGACTATGAAGTGGACAACATTTAAGATATGTCTGGTAGTATACTACAAAACGATTTTGTTTGTCTGTTTAGACAACATACAGTACAATTTTCTTTAGTTACCATGGTAATAGTCAAATACTTTCTTCCTGTTAACCAGCTTAGACATTTGCTAGATATTAATGCTCAGCGATGAAATTCCAGGATGATTATTCCAAAATATGGCTTTTAAAACTGTTCTGTTTAAGTACCACAGTTTGGTTAGCATTTGCTTCATGAATAACTCCTCACCAAAAAGCATCTAGCTTCTAGCTAGAGGAAGAAAATTGAAGGATTTGCAACCTCTTGAAATTCTCAGTGTTGCTACCTCTAAGGAGGCCAACAAGAAGTGTTTCAGTATAGTTTCTCATTTCCAGGCCCCCCAGGAAAAAATAGAAACATCTTCTACTCAGTTGTAAGAAAGAAGACTGAAAAACACTACAGGAGGACAATAGAAATAAACAGACGTAACTGTAGTGTTGAAGATAAAAGTGTTATTCACTGGACGATGGGGTAGTAACAGACAATTGCTAATTGAGAGCTGAAGGGAAAAGTGTATAAAAGAAGTTAAATGAAAAAAAATATGAATCAAAAAGAGAAAGGGGGAAATTTAGGCCAAAGTTATTAGAATTAATGAGAAAGAGAAAAGGGGTAAAATAGAGAAAAGTTGGGAGAAACTATGCTAGTAAAAGAGAAAGAAAGCAAATGAAACTAGTATGACAATTTAGTGGAGACTATTGGGGTAAATGAGAAGAGTTGGTGACTAAAAATAAAGCAGAGAACACACAGGCCACAAGAATGGAGGAAATGAAATGCTGCATTCATAACCTTTAAACATGTTTAGACAGCTGTCATCTTGAAGGCTCAAAAGAATTCAGAGGCACTAGATCAGGAGTACTGTGTATTTGAATGTGATCTGCAGAAGGTTCACCATGTACCATTTCTCCATTCTTATTATACTCTTCAGTGAGAGAATGTCAACTATTTACACCACAGTGATGCTCTGCAGCATCATTCATGGCTGTTTGAGAATGCTGGATGAAAGTAGTACTATTATCAAATAATCCTTTGCCAACCCATAAACCAAATCTAAATTTTAAGGCCCTATTTTTTATCCTTTCTGTTTCTCTTGCTCTGGTTCATAGTTTAAAAAACCCACCAAACCACCAACCCAGAAAAGGACACAATAGCTTTTGCCACACTTTCATGATGCTTTAATGAAAGTAAGTCAAAATAAGTACTCCAAGCAGCAAAAGTCTGTCTGCATTCTCCCAGAGCTTCATGATTACTCCTCTTAAAAAGACCTGCATGTTTTAACTTCTGAGCTGAATAACAAAGGAAGAAGTACCAGTCAATAATTAGGAAAGGAGACAGAAGAAGTAGCATGAAAATAGGTGTAATATTAGAATTTTGGGGTGAAAAAAGCAAAACAAAACAACACCCAGAAACAAGGCAGAATGCCTCTCTAATTATTTTGGTCAGAGATTTAACCAAAAATATGTACAGCAACATTTCTCAGTTTAAGAACTGAAAGTATATTACAAATGCAATTCTGCAGAAAAGACAATGCTTGAATAGTTGAATATTTAGTTGCAGATGAACATGCATCCTTTTCCAACTAGGCAAAGTCAGAGAATTATTTATATCTTCTATTTCAATGGCATGGCAATGATTACACATCCATTTTCTGCCCATTTCATTTTTCAATTATTTAATAAATGGTACCAGAGGACCCTGGCACTTCCTCCTGACAGTAAGAACTAATTGTTACACATTTCAAACACACTACTGCATATTATATATTACTTTTAATTACACAGTCAAAGAAATGTGCGTTATTAACTTACCTAGTGCACTCACACAAACCTGTGTGGAGTAGAACAAAATTCTGAGAACACTAGAGATTCTGCATATGATTATTATTAAGTAATTATACAAGTCATAAATATGTATGACCTAAAACCAGAAAGATTCAAAAACTCAAAGCCAAATTTGACAGTCTAACTCTTTGTATGGTTCTGCTTAAATCAAATCAGAGCTAGATCTCCTGCTCCCAGTTAGGTGCCCGGGAGTCCTTAAGAATTTGAGGCTGGGAGACTATATCACAAATATTTGTTCTGTCTTACGATCTTCTAGCTGTTCCCTTACAACCACTCTTAGAGACAGACAGCCTCTTGGTCAACAGGACCAGTACGGCTGTTCTTAAAATCAGTTTTGGAATTGAAGCTGAGGCTGGCACAATATAAATAGAAAAAAAAGTGAATTGTTAAGAGGATCTTGAAGTCTGACATCCTCAATAATGTGTTGGGAAAATAACTTTAAAAATTGACATTATCAAAGGTGAATTACAATTAAACTGGATTTGGCAAAATATTGGGAGAATTGTACTCAGCAAGGAAAACAATTGCAAATGGGGTGGAGATTTGAAATTGTTTGATCTGTTTTGATGAATGAATTCAGGGGAGGAAAATGAGAACTGCTGAGCAGGTATGTAACCGTACTTCCTGAAAACAAAACAGAAGGAAGATGAATGAGAACAAAGTAAGTACAAACTTAGCCAAGTTTTAAAGAATAGAGATCAGACATACTTAGTATGAACCTAGAAAGAAAACACCAAAATGGTAATGCTGTTTCTCTACAGCTGTGGTATCAGGAAGAGTGAAAAAAATTACTCTAGAGAGAAGATGTTTTAGGGTTTAGCAAGAGAGTTTCTCAGAGAAAATTGTTTTGATGACACAGATAAGGTGGTCTTTCAGTAACGTTCCGATTTTTTGCTGTTTAAATTTCAACAGAGAGCATTAAAAAAATCCAAAAAAACCAGAAAAATCAGGAATGTAATTAGTAAAAGAGAGAAAAGGAAGATCTTGAGATTAATCCTTTCAGTTTTCACACTAAAGAAAATAACATGAAGCAGAAAAATGTTTATTAGGAAATTTGCTGGAATTATTTAGTCTTTCTGCTGTATATGTCAGTACAGTACAGTGATGCTCAAAGGTGCACGTCTAATGACGAAAGGATCAGAGAAAAATCTTAGTGTTATGGATAGTGGATAAAACCCAGAACAATTTGCCTTTGACAAAGTTCAGTTGTATATATGCAGACCTTTCCCAAAGGTGTCTATCACATGCTTGAGTGGTCTTTTTGTAAAGACAGGGACATATATAAGGTCATTTTTGGTATGACATGATAACCTTAACAAACAAACAAACAAACAAATCTAAACCACAATTTCATATTGTTTATTCAGTTTAGCAGCAAAGTAATAAAATGCTCTATAAAGCTACAAAAACCTGTTCAACATACTCTGCTGGTATGAAAAATAAAAAGGAAAAGAAGCAAAGGGTGAAGTCACCATTCCTGCAGCCAAAAAATCAATTTAGTGTATTCATACTAACAGTAAGTTTTGATTTCTGTGGAAATATTTGGCTGACTCATTACAATAAACAGTGGATGTAAATGTCATAGAAGAAATAGTTGACAATCAAAGTAAATGTTGTACCTTTGCACGTTGGGATTACTCCACTCCATGTGCCATTGCTAGTACAAGTGCGAATTAAGGAGCTATTTGATTCCATTGTATAACCAGGTTGGCACATATAAGTAACATTTTGTCCAACAACATAATCATCACCATATCTCATGCCATTGGCTGGGACTCCTGGATCTCCACAACTGATAACTGCAAGTAAATAATTGAGGAACAGATTTTAAAACCTAAATGTGATTTATTTATATCTAAGAGGAAAAACATAGGGCAAAACTAGGAATTTATTGGGGAAAAAAGGAGAAGGAAAAAGTATCATAAATCTTATCTCCATCAAGAGAAGGTAAAAATATATGTCATCTGAATTAGCTGCCAAACATAACATGTGGAGCTGTATAACAGTTATATTTGGAGAACTTCAATACATCTGTTCAACAGTAGAAGTAATGGACTGTACAATTTTGATCAGTAAAATTTCAAGATTATAAAATAAAAAAAAAAGGAATAATCCATATGTCACTACCATCCTTTGATACCCTCAAATTTTCCTATCAGTTCAGCATTTCATTATTAAAGAAGCAGGTATCTACTGTTTAGTTTACTTTTCCATGGGTACATCCTGAAAGGAAACACAGTCTGGAAAATTTAAGATATATGTCTGCAAAACCTCCCACTATGTACATAAACAGATGAGAATGTTCAGACAACCCCCAAACATGGGCCATGGCTTATGCCAAAATTAGGCCGATAGTACTTTAATGAGTGGGAGTGGTTATAAAACCTCTTGTGACTTCTAGTGTCAGGAGATAATTTAATCTCTTAATGAGATTAAATAGTCATAAGGAGTTAATAAAGAGTTATATTATTATAATCTGAGAATAATGTTAAAATAGGTAAGTTTCTCTCAGATCTGGTCAGTTGGATCTATCAATTTCTGGAACAGTTTTCAGAGTAAGAAATCTTGATAACCCTAGTGGCAATGATAAAATGCTTTGTTTTCAGGAAAAAAAAAGAAACACTGGTGAAAAAATCTAGTTCATACAAAATACAGCACCCATGTGTTTTACAATTTATCTTATAGTAAACTTGACAATCCCCCTACAGCATTGTTATTACTTCTGGAAAATTGTGGGAGGCAGTTTCCTGGGCAGAAAGCACATCCTGGCCACTTCTAACTCAATGCCAAAGCATGACCAATGTGAATGGCACCCTCTCTGTATCTTGGTTTCCAAAATGAGAAAACATGTGACTACATGTGACTACATGTTTGTAGCTTTTTCATTCACCTTCTTTACAATCTCCATTTCTTTCTTTTGGTCATTAACACAAACTTTTTGCTTCTTCCACTGTTACTGTTACTGTAATTATTGTACCCTTTCCTGCTACTGACACTTCAACATTGATCCATTATACAGCAAGAGCCACCATAGCTTTAGCAGATCTCTAGATTGTTCTACCTTCTCAAAATTCCTACCTTCTTATCAACTTTTAAAGCCATATATTTAAAAGAAAAAAAACCAACCCAGACCTGATTTTCTTTCATGTGATTTTTCCCTTCTGTACTTACTAGTGTTTATCTTTCCATAGGAAAAAGAGTTGCATGAAAGAAAAGACTTACGGGGAAAAAAGAGTCATTCTTCATATTACTGTGTTGTAACATTAGAACTGTTCACAGAGGTGGGTTAGGAGTGGTAAGGAAAAGATCCTTTTGCTCTTTTGTCTTATACTACAGCATTTGATTTTCAAAGAAAACAAAAGCAGATGTAAGGAAGTGACCTAGATTTTACTGAGATACTATGTTTTGTCATAGACATAGGAATAAAGCTTTAACTAAAAGAAACATGTAGTAGCTACTTAGAAGGCTCAGTGGCATTTTCTGAAGTTCACAGATTCAGATAGTTAGAGAATCACAGAATGGTGATGTTGGAAGGGACCTCCGGAGGTCATCTTGTCCAATTCCCCTGCTCAAGCAGACCATCCAATGACCCAAAGTTAGGCCACCTCCACTTAAGTCACTGTGGTAGGCAAAAAACAGCTTAAATTGTCGCAATGATCCTGACCAGAGTATATCGAGGAGTCAGTGATCCACCATACAGTTAACCTGAGGAGCCCCAGGCTTGTGCTGCACTGTGCTGCGCATCCAGCATGGCCTTCAGACCTGTGCTGTGCTACACAGATCCCTTGGCCAGGGCACAACCTCAGCCAGCTCATTGCAACAGAGGAGCTTCAGGTAGCTCCCACTCAGTATCAGCGATTACACCAGCTGCATGTCCTTGCTTTTTATCTAGTAGTGCAGCAAGAAGTTCTCATGAGAACATTGTTTCTGTTTGACTGTAGAAATGATAGAGTTGTTTCCTTGTAGGAAAATCCTACAAGAGCTTGAACAACCAAAAGGGGAGAATCTTTGCTATGGACAAGGTCTACATGGCATGCTGCACGTCGGTCAGAGTCTTGTTCGATGCCACGCTGCCCAGGGCTCCCAGCATCTAAAGGGACATAAGATTATCTATGCTATTCTCTTCTTATAGTGTTAGCTCCAAAAAATAACATTTTCAATGATACGCAAGAAGCAGTCCATTACTTGTTAGCTGTAGTAAGTATGGGCTGGCTGTAAATTTTGATAACACCTGGACTAAACAAAAGTGGCATATCTTGAATCTTCCTGTTAATAGAGACATGAGACAGAACAACCAATTAGGACACTGATATGTGTTCTGCTTAGAGTGGTGTTGGGGGCCCAGAAAGAAGGTGAAGATCCTGTCTGGAGAAAAGATCCTGGAATTGGGGAAGATCCTAGAAAAGGAGGCGATGTGTGGAGATAAATGTCAGGGGATGACCCTGACTGATAACACCTGAGTTTTGTACGAGCAGTGGCACAGCATGAATCAACAGGACTTTGAACCTATCTTTCCCAGGACAGTGGAGAACTCCCTAAATGTAACCCTTAGGGAGAGCGATGAAGTGTGAGATAAACAGGCAGGTAAAAGTTCTAAACTGCATGGTTATTAAATGGACACCAACATCCAGGTGCACTGTGGGTTGCTGTTTACTTTGTGTCACCCATGACAGCCACTTGGGACAGGTGCTTGCCTAAGCTGTTCTGGAAACCTGCAACGGTTCCATGAGGTTCGATGACTTGAACGGGCAATAAGCAAATTTTGGGAAATCTTGTCATAGTAAAAAATGGACAGCACGTGTACTGGTTTTGGCTGGGATAGAGTTAATTTTCTTCACAGTAGCTCATATGTCGATTTGTGATGAAAACAGTGTTGATAATCTAGGGACATTTCAGTTATTGCTGAACGGTACTTGCACAGCATCAAGGCCTTCTCTGTTTCTCATGCTGTCCTGCCAGCAAGTAGGTTGGGGATGCTTAAGTTGGGAGGGAACACAGCCAGGACAGCTGACCCTAACTGACCAAAAGGATATTCCATACCATATGATGTCATGCTCAGCATATAAAGCTGGGGGAAGAAGAAGGAAGGGGGGATGTTCGGAGTGATGGCGTTTTGTCTTCCCCAGTAACGTTACATGTGATGGAGCCCTGCTTTCCTGGAGATGGCTGAACACCTGCCTGCCCATGGGAAGGAGTGAATGAATTACTTGCTTTGCTTGCATATACAGCTTTTGCTTCACCTATTAGATTGTCTTTAACTCAACCCATAAGTTTTTGCACTTTTACCCTTCCAATTCTCTCCCCCATCCCACTGGGGGGGGAGTGAGTGAGTGAGTGAGTGAGTGAGCAGCTGTGTGGTGCTTAGCTGCCTACCGCGGTTAAACCACAGCAGCATGGTAGGGACAGTTAGGGAAAAAAAAAAAAACAACCTGCCCTGTCAACAAAGTCTGTTGGCACTGCCAATTCTACTGCTTTGGATACACTTTGAAATCATTATGAGAAAATTTTTCCCTTACAATAAATAATGTTCTTCAGGCATATTTTATAGACCTGGAGATAAAACTGGCAGGAGAAAGAGAAGGGATTGTTAACTCATGATCTGTTAACTAGCTATTTAGCTAATATTGTCATTAACTCTTGTTAATTATCTGTTAGCAATTTAAAATTTATATATTGTCATGAGAGAACATAGCAAGTTAAGTATGATGAAGTTTAATATATTTTTTATTTTAAATTTAGATATGCTGGGGAACTGTAGTATTAAAGGTCTGTAGAAAGGGACACAGATTGGACACAGCTCTGAGCAACCTGCTCTAGCTGATCCTGCCACGAGCAGAGGGGTTGGACTAGACAATCTCCAGAGATGACTGCCGATCTCAGCCATTCTACAGTGCTGTAAAATGCCTCTCCATTTCTGGGTATTTTAGAGCTGCTGCTAGTACCTGTATCAGCTTAGATACAAGTTGAAGCACCTAGTAGCACTTCCACCCCCCTTTAGGAATTAGTTAATAGCAATGATCAAAAAGGCAGAATGAGTCAGGCTGAGATTCTCAGAGTTTGTACCTTTTTTGATAAGATTTTCATTCAATCGTTCTTTTCATATTCTGAACACTCCAGGGGATAGGCATCAAACTAAAAACCCCTAAATAACATTATCACTGGAATAAACATATAAGGGGATATACTTTTTAAATGTGTAATCATAACAGAGAGAGAACTGTGTATTAGGAATGTCAATAGATTTATTGCATAACAAAGTTAAATTACTTATCTATTAATTAAATCAAGAATATTTTTTCTATTACATATAATCTTCACAATCCCTCTCTCTGTTTTATTAGGATACTTTCTCTGTTAAGACTTTTCTCTACGTTTTAAGCAAAAATTCCAAGTTTCTACCTGAGTAGTGTTTTTTGAGAAGACTGTTCTAGCATATACTTCAGCTAAATGTCATTGTAAAATACAAGAAAAAATATAGATGCAGTTACCATCACAAAACACCTTTATCCTTGGTACAGTTAATCTGGTTCTTATTATAACTTGGAAAATAATAAATAAATGAAAACATTGGGCTCTCTCACAGGTTTGCTGACTGCAACGGCAGCTGTTCACATTCTTACCATTAAAGATGGATTTAAAAACAACACAAGAAGTTTTCTTTATCATCTTACTTTTGGCCTCTATTTAGGTTGCTATAAGTGTGTAAAGTAGCCAACTCTACAAAAGCTAGGGTACTAGTTCAAAATTAAAGCAACAGTTTGCTATTCTTCTGATGAGTATATGTTTCCTCAAAATGATAGGCAGTCTCATGTGTCACATAAATGTAAAATTTTCATAATTGTTACTAAAAGATGAACTAGGACAGGTAATAAAGCAGGAACAGATAGGCCTGAAAATAAACTGTTGCAAAATGCTTATTATGAATGTGAGAGAAGCTGAAATAACTTCTGTTAGCTGAGTAACCAAAGCAAGTATAAGGTTAATGAATAGGCCAAACAGAAGATGTTATGTGAGAGCGGGACAACAGTTTTGACCTCAGAGTCACTACAAAAAGAATTCTCAAGCGTTCATTTCAAGGCTTTTATTTTCTGCCCTCTGGCAGACCAGAATATTATACTGTTAAGTTTTCATGAAGAAGAAAATCAATTAAATGAATAATGTCTGAATATGACATATCACAAAACATAAACAAGATTAAAAATATGTACTAGGAAAGAATTAAAGTAGGTAGATCATGTAACCATACAACTCCTTTAAACCGTAACAAGAGTCTATATATTTTACTATACTGTGTCTGTCTTTAAAAAAAACATATTCTTCACCTTCACATAGCACTATATTTTTTAAAAGTATTTCATGTACAAAATTATGTATGAAGTAGTGAAAGAAAAAGCTGAAGACTTAATTTATTTGCATCCAACCTCTATGTTTTACTTTATTGTCTTTCAGAGGAGAAAAAAACAAAGACTATTCATTAGAGATGTGTCTTACTTGTACAGTTTGGCAAGGATCCAGACCATGTTCCATTGGCAGTGCATTGTCTTACAGATGATCCAGAAAGTATGTATCCTTCCATGCATGAATAAATTACTGAATTAGAGAATGTAGTTCCATCAATACGAAATACTTTTCCATTAGCAGTTGTTCCTGGATTACCACACTGCACAGCTATAAAGCAAAATGTTAAATACTTTTAAAATATAGTAAAGGTGACTTTTGAAATAGTAATGTCTAAGGACAATCCTGCTGCCAGCAGTGTTATGTGGTAGAAATCCATGCTGTTGTCCTGAAAAATGCAAGTTTCACCACCTACTGATAAGGCATGTTGTACAGTAAATAGCTGTTTGCATGAATTACTTGTTTTTACCCTTTTGTATGTAGGGAAACACAATTTAACTTTAAAATCTGCTCTAAAGGAAAGCTAGTTTAGCTGCAAAGACAAACTCCCAATTATAAGAAAATGCTTGATCTACAATTATCATTGTAGATTTAATTTGAGAAAATGCTTTCTACAATTATCATTGTAGATTTAATTTGAATCTATAGTATGTATGCATTTATATCATCACCAAAGTACGTTTCCTACCTAATTCAAAGCACAGGTTAGAGTCAAACTATTATTTCATAGGCAGGTGAAAGCCTGATGTTTCCCACTTCTTCAATGCTCAACTTTGGAATTTGAATGTGTCTTTCTTATGTGATTACATATATACATCTAATCTATATGACCTAAACTAGAACAATATACCCGTGTGTGCATTACACACACCTATATATATATATCTGTGAACCAGAATCATCATTTCAAGAGATTTTTAGGGGGAAAAATAACACCAAAAGTATCTTAAAATGTAAAAGGGTTAATTCATTTCTGTAATAGATAAGATCAAAGAAGAATAGCAGAAAGTTCAGTTGCCCTAAGCGTATTCCTTCAGATACCAACATAAAAACACATATATATATATTTAAGTTGTGTCAGGATGGCAATCATTCAGCAGAAAGGATATTACAAATCCAGCTTGTGAAATAAGTTTTTAAAATGGGATGACTATTTCATACAGATAACACAGTCAACAGTGATAAAGTGGAAAATAAGAGTACAGGTTCTCAAATTATTTTCTGCTTTTCAGGAAGCTTTTCTTTGAAGAAAAATCTGTTGGAAATTATTTCCTAATTTTGAATCAAGATAATTAAGGTAATAAATGATTCCCCATAAATATCATGTTTGAACTTTCTTTTATGATAATGCATCTAGCTTGAAATTTCTAGAATGATTTTTTTCCAAATAAACTTGTTTCAGCATTTTGTTATCTATTGAAAAATAATAATAAAGTTAACAGTATTAGTAAATAAAATTTTTAAGCCAATCATTTATGACATAGATGTATCTAATGAAATTCTGACATTGACATTTTTCTAAAACTCAGCTCTTTTCTCTGAAAGTCAGATGTATAATGTTGTAATTAAAGATGAGGTAATGGTGAGATTTTTAAGGGAAAAAATCTTTCAGCAAATATTGAGTACTAGAGGCCTCATTTATTTCCTTTTCTGTTTAGCTTTTTGTACTGGATAACATATAGTTGATGCTTAGACAAGATTGAGAAGAAAGAAACAGTTCAGTAGACTTCTTTTTCTCAAAACTTTGAAAACATGCAGTTTCATGGGTGCCAGGAGCTGATTTCAGATTTGTCACCTGATGCCAAGCCATTGCTATGGTGTAACAACTTATTGAAAAAAATTTAATGGTCAGTCCAAAATCAACTGTATACCATTCACAACAATGACAATGTAAAATTGATTTTCTGGTTAGTATTTTTAACAATTTAAAAATAGAGTGGGTCTTCTGTGATTTACCTTTGCACTCAGGTTGTCTTCCTGTCCAACTTCCATTTGCCATCCATGTCCTTTCTTCTGAGCCATGGAGGATGTATCCAATATCACAGCTGAAATGTACCGTGCTTTTAATTTTAAAATTGTTTTCTTCTCTAGACCCATGACCTGGGATACCTGGATCACCACAAGAACCAGCTGTATCACCTAGAATTTCAAGTGCAAAGATTAGAATAAATATGAAATATTATTATTAGCATTTAAAAATATATGTTTCTATGTATTTATAAATAAATTTATATTTCTAATTTTAGAAAAAAAACATACATCTCAGTGGGTGTGAGTCCCTGTAATTACAAAATTATTTGATTTTCAAATCATTTGGTTTTACTTATTTATAAAGTACAGAACAGAAATTATAATTATCTCAAGATTCCCCTTACACCACGCTAAACTTTTGGTAACAGAATCATCAAACAAGAATAGACAAACAAAAAGAAAGCCACAAAACCTTGGTCATTTTTCATTTAAAATAAGGAATTCTGAGGAAAACCAAGGTCCTGATCATAAAGATAATTTTCTTGTTTGCTTATAACAAGTGTTCATAAAATACTTCCTAGTTTTATGATATCATTAGAGTGTAACAGTTTTACCATTGAATGGAAGCTCTAGTCAACAATTTTATGTACCTCTGACATGAAGCATTTCCCTGATTTATAGAAATGTTGAAAGTTCACTTCAAGACTGCCTGATAGCTAAAATCTCCCTCAGCTAGAAATGTTTAAGCAAATTCTAAGATAGAGGGTTAATGTTTTTTACTCTGTTGTATATCAATGTTAAAATAATCAACATAGTCATGATAATAATAACAATATCTAAGATTATACATCTAAATCTTCATTTATGGTGAGAACTTTTAGGAAGCTCTAGGTAACACTGTATTTGCACAGCAGGTCAGTTTAAATCTTTTAATATGTACTTAGGATCTGCTGTTTTATCTTTTTAAAGGTCTTTAAGCCAGTTTTGTATGTAATAAGAGATGAAGGTATATTGTATTACTGAGTTTCAACACAGAAGAGTTGAATTCTAGAATTCCTGGGGCTGCACTGTTCAGGTTTTCACCCATAGATATTCAGCTTGCGGTTTTCTGTGACAACTTGCAAATAAACTGAACAGTCTTCTATATAAAAAATAACTCAAATATCATAATATGTTTGAGAGTATATCTGCATTATTTTGTACTTAGTTACACTAATGTAAATAAAGAATAAATATTTTAAAAATCAGCTAGAAAGCTTTAATTCAGCTACTGAAGAACGTCATATTATAGCTTCACATTAGAGAAAATTTTATTAAAAGATTTGTACAAGTTATGTAAAGAATGCTTTCTGCAGAATAGCCATAATTTTCTGGTATTTATCTAAGCTTAAATAACATTAATAAGAGAAGTTCTTACATAGAAGTAGTAAACAAAGTTGTCTGCTCCAAGTACCCAGAAGACCAAAAGTGGCAAACTCAGGATCTAGGGGTTCTATGGGAAGTTAGGACCCTGGAGGTGTAGATGCGGAGAAAAACAGAGCTTCCCTTGCCTTGGTTGTCACTGTATGTATGTAAACTATACTGTTGGAGTGACTGGTTGAACACATCTCTTTACTAACAAAAGCAGGTACAGAACTGAATATTGAAAGGAAGAAGAGCAGAACTAGCTTACTTTGCTTTGAGAATTACGGTGTTTGAGCAAATACTTGTTTTAGTCTGGTACGTCCAAGAAGCTGACCATACTTTTGTCACTTATGAAGGTAGTTCATGTGCCAACCTGCAGTTTTGTAGGTCATGCTTACTACTTTTTATTTCCACAAGTTCATTGAAGAACAATATAACTAAGCACCTCACAGGAGCTGATCTGCACAACTCCTATAGGCTTGTGGGAAAAGAGAATGCAGCTACGGAGCCTCAGTCTGAAGACACATCTGGAGAGTCACAGAAAAGGGCAGAACTTTGGAAATGCAAAAGAGAACAAATCTGGCAGCTCATACTACCTATCCAACCCTTTGCTGAAGCAGCTGACAGAGTAGGCTAGTTGTGAACCACTCTCACTAATCTAGGAGCCGATTTTATCATTATTTAAGTTAACCAAGTTTAAACTGACACCTTTCATTTGAGAATAATCAAACTAATGTAGTCATGCCTATTACATTGTGAACTTTTATAGCATGTATGTGCAAAAAGTACATGGTCCTATGTATTTTAATGTTTTCAGAAATAACACATTAACTCAAGTAAGTGTAAGAGCTAGCTGACTGTCTGGTTCAAAATCACAGACTCAGAAGTTTAAGCTCTTCTCTGTTTACCCATTTCATTATGTGACACAGATCAGTAAAGCCAGCCCTGCCAGCCCTGTTTAAAAAGAAATTGTAAACAGTTCCAAATTACACTAAGTAAAAGAATTTTATAAGTTTTCAAAATAGTTCATGCCCAAGCTACTTAGGTCACTCAACATCCCTCTAGTTTGAAAATATTCTGCTACATATTTTTACAATAATTTAAAAATGTCCAAAATCAAGATTTTTTTTTGTTATTTTGGGAATCCATATCTTGCATTTTCTAGTATTATTTATTTAGAGTATGAAGAATTTGGGACAGGGCCTATTAATTATTCTATACTTGTAACGTCTCTACAATAACATCTCAGTTTTTGGCAAGTTACTTGGCATTATGCCTAAAATAATTTTATGAAAAAATGAAAATAGGCTTTTTGCTATGCCAAGTATAAATTACATACTCCTCTTGTAAATGAAATCATGTGTTCTTTCCTAATGCCTAATTATTACCATGAATTATTAGTCTTTTAATTTTAGGGAGGTTAACCACCAGCTCTTTTGATTGAAGGTTACAGAAATAATTTTTCTAAATGACTAATCACATCAGGAAGTGACAGTGATATAATCAATGATATCATAACAGAACATATTTTTATTACCTCATGCAGAGATTCAACTAAGTGATTTTCACAGTCAGTTATGAGCCATCCTTCATCCACATGTGTAACAAATTCTCAGCTGGCATTTAATCTTAATGAAAAGGAGGGTATTTAGACCACTTAAGTAAGTACACAACCATTGCTGCACTTATGAGGAATTCTAAGTTGCTGCAAATTTCTGACTCCAGCTGATACGAATGTGACGACTGAAAACCATTTCTGAATGCCAATAGATATTGAGGGACATGACAATTCCTTCTAGCTCTAGGATGTGAAACATAAAGTGCCATGTGACCAAAAGGAAACTGTCTTAGGGATGATGTGACAAAATTTGGTTACCTTATGTTTGCTGACCTAACATTTTCTGTTTGAATTCTCCTCCATATATGAAAAGGACAAGCATGCTGTATGTTTCGTCAGTCAAACATTCTATATTATTTATTATTAATATCATCAACAAAAAAATACAAAGTTTAAGGCTTTAATATGCATTAAAAATTAAGAAATCAAGTTATCAAGGCTAATAATGAAAGCTAATGATTTCACATATTTTTAGATACAAAATATGGAAATTCTGTATGGAAAACTGCAAATTATTTTAAAATGAGAAAGCATTTCAGGTACACACTTTGAAAACAAAGTCTCAAAGTTGTCCTACGCTAGAATTATAGTTTGGTACAGTACAGCTAAAGAAAATAACAGCTTGTATTCTGTCACAATTTGATTCGCTATGATTAACATTTGAATCTATGTCAAAGAAATATTTCTTCATGTGTTGAGAAAAATTCATTAGATCTGATTAGAGTTTCCTACCTGTGGGTACAAAAGTAATCATTAGTTAAAAAAAAAAGGATTTTTATGTACCTCACTTACGAACGCTTATCCCAAGATATTTGAACACTAATTTAATAGCAAGATGATTATAGAATATTTTTTTTTTCAGTAAGGTTTCATTGATATTGTAATGTATATTTTCAGGCTTACCATTTGTATTCCTTGATATTTTTGTCTATTTCTTTAATTTTTTTTAATTCACAAATTAGATTTTTTTTTTTGCTTATGAAGACTGTGGAAAACTACAATAAGTAGCCTTAGATTTTATCTGAAGAGGATACTTTTCCCCAAAACAAATATGTATGCATACTAGCTGTAAAAACATTTTTGATTAACCTAGTTTGAATTTGCAATTCACATAAATATATCATTATCTATTAAGTAATATTATTTTACATTAAACTTTGATTTCTGGTGCATAGCTGTAAACATCACAGGTTATAAGAACTTGATTTTTGTTCCCATTGTGGCAAATTTCCCTCTGATTTTATTGATAGAATGTTAAGGGATTAAATTAGGTGTTCACATTTTCTAGTTTCTGTCACATTTTAGATTGTAATGAAAGAAGAGGGACTCATAAAGCAAGATAACATTTAGGTTGTCCTTGTCTGCAACCACTTCCTAAAAGTTTGCAGTGGAAGGTTCAAATACAGAAAAATTCTTCCAACCTTTTGGAATTTAGTGCAAGATTTTAACCAAGCAGCATTTGTTACTAATTTTTAACCATTTCTGGCTGTAAAAAAAATGCATATTCTGAAACTGTAGTTAACATAATCAGTTTATACCTGAATACACTAAAGACATGAAGGCAGGAGGGGAAAAAAAAAAAAAGGACTGGAATATGTGAGAACCCACCTGGAGTACTGTATCCAGTTCTGGGGTCGCCAGTACAAGAAGGACATGGACCTGTTAGAGCAGGTCCAGAGGAAGGTCACAAAAATGATCAGAGGGCTGGAGCACCTCTCCTTTGCAAAAAGGCTGAGAGAGTTGGGGCTGTTCAGCCTGGAGAAAGGAAGGCTCCCGGGAGACCTTATTGCAGCCTTTCAATATATAAAATATATAAGAAAGATGGAGAGAGACTTTTTATCAAGGCCTGTAGTGACAGGGGGCAATGGTTTTAAACTGAAAGAGGGTAGGTTTACATTGGACATAAGGAAGACATTTTTTATGATGAGGGTGGTGAAACACTGGAACAGGTGGCCCAGAGAAGTTGTAGATGCCGCAGCCATGGAAGTGTTCATGGTCAGGTTGAACAGGGCTATGAGCAACCTGAAGATGTCCCTGCTCATTGCAAGGGGGTTGGACTAGATGATCTTTGGAGGTCCCTTCCAACCCAAACCATTCTATGATTCTATGATTCTATGATGCTACGATTCTAGTGGAAGATGTCCCTGCCCATGGCTGGGGGGTTGGACTAGATGATTTTTAAAGGTCCCTTCTGACCCAAACTATTCTATGATTCTACGATTTAGTGGCTGGAAAGCTGCCTGGAGGAAAAGGACCTGGGGGTGCTGGTTGACAGCCGGCTGAACATGAGCCGGCAGTGTGCCCAGGCGGCCAAGAAGGCCAATGGCATCCTGGCCTGTATCAGAACTAGTGTGGCCAGCAGGAGTAGGGAAGTGATTGTGCCCTTGTCCTCGGCACTGGTGAGGCCGCACCTCGAATACTGTGTTCCGTTTTGGGCCCCTCACTACAAGAAGGACATCGAGGTGCTGGAGCATGTCCAGAGAAGGGCAACGAAGCTGGTGAAGGGTCTGGAGCCCAAGTCTTCTGAGGAGCGGCTGAGGGAACTGGGGTTGTTTAGCCTGGAGAAGAGGAGGCTGAGGGGAGACCTCATCGCTCTCTACAACTACCTGAAAGGATGTTGTAGCGAGGTGGGTGT